AATAATATTTGAGGTACTACAGACGGTAAATCTGAATATCTTTTCTAATTGAATTCTTTGTTTTTTTTTTTTTTAAAAAACCTTTGTTCAAGAAACAACTTCTCGGGATCTTTGGGGGAAGTTAGACTTGTAACTTCTCTCCATAACCATTCCTATGCGGCTATACCAACCCCACCTTAGGGAATAATTCCAATTTTCGAATATTATCCTAATCACATTAACATCCCTTTCACATGCGACTTCAACATACTATTACTAGTCCTAATCCTCAATATAAGAGTATAAAAACTAGTTAATTAATTTAAACAAATTAAAAAAAAATTGTTAAGTTAACTATTTATAATAAATGTATTATCTTTTCTAAAATATCTTTACTAATCATTTATTTTAACTAGAACTATCATTTGACGAAATTTTTAACATTTACAATTACTAGAAGGACTACTTTAAAAAGAAAGGATAAATATAAAAGATAAAATAGATTGGAATCTTATATTTAGCACCAAATTAAATATTAAACCAGTTCTTATATTAACATTTGGAACTAGCTAGTATTCTTTACAATAATTTGTTTTCCATACATAATTTAAATTCAAAATATATATGAAAAACAATTATAGCAAAAGCTTAGCTTCTTTTCTTGAAATATCTAGTTTTTAATACTATTAATTTAGATTTAAACATGTTCAAATTCGAAATAATCTTAGTTTAGGGATGTTGATTTCAATATACTTAATTGGATCATCATTTCAACTATATATATATATATATATATATATTCTCATGCATCACCTATAATTTTAAAAAATAATCGTACAATATATTATTCACAAATAATGCTATTTGCAAAAAAAAGAAAAAGATGTTGCACCTAATATTAATACTGATATGTCAATATAGACTTGGGTATTTAAACTAATAACATGGTCTCTATAGAATTTATTAATACCCTTTTAATAAATTAATAAGTTGTAATTATTCCATATTTCTATACAGTCTTGTATTATATGTGATTTATAAATAATGCAAATTTTTTGACAAATTTTATTTTAGAAAGAAACACCTTGTTTCCCCATTTTTAGAGAAAGCGAGCCCGCATGGACACGTGCTGGCTGATTAGGTGCCATGGGTTTGTATAGTCGTCGTTGACTGTGTTTAGTTTCCAACTCCCGGACCAATCGGCACCTTTCCAGTCCTTTTTGCCCCCTCTATTGTCCCGACGGAAACCTTTTCACATGTGACTGGCATCTGGCTGTTACAACTAACAAGTAAATGCTACTAGCCCAGCTCAGGTCCTAATTATAAGAATTAGTTGACTAATTTGAAGAGATTAAAAGAAAAATTGAGTTAGTTATTTGTAATAAATATGTGTTTTCTTTTCTAAAATATCTTTGCTAATCAAATGTGTTGGCTAAAACTACTATTATTAGAAGGACTATCTTTAAAAAAAACTTAAATATTAGAGAAAAAATGGATCAGGATTTTATATTTAGAATCAAAATAAAAATCAAATGAGATCTTATATTAAGAATAGGGAGTAGTATTTCTTTAATAAATAAATAAATAATTAATTAATTTTTTTTTTGCTCAAAGCATAGATCAGTAAGACTTCCAAAACAAATTCACAAACTAGAAAGAATAAATTATTAAGCCAGATGGGGTGCATACTAATCTGGATAGCTTGTTTGTTGCAAGTTGCAACCCATATAAACCGGGTCAAAATTAGATTACTTGTGTAATTAATATTGATGGCTGTGTTGATCAAGAGGTGGAGGTGTTCACGTACATTATAATTAATCCTGACCCAAAAAAAAATTTTGATATACTACTTCTGACCATTAATATAAGACCTTATTTGATTTTTGTTTTAGTTCTAAATATAAGACCCCAATCCACTTTGTCTCTTATATTTATGCATTTTTTTTCTAAAGTAACCCCTCTAACAATGGTTGTTCTAGCCAATACACTTGATTAGTAAGGATATTTTAGGAAAGACAACACATATTTATTATAAATAACTTACTTAACTTCTTTCTCTAATCTCCTCAAATTAATCAACTAACTCTTATAATTAGGATAGGATATAGTACCTTTGTTGTAATTACAAAACCATATTAGCAATTTTATAAATCAAAGTCAATTCAAGAGATGATAAAAGATTTCTATACGTCATGGACAAATTGTTAAAATCTTAATAACAAAAATATCTTTGCACGTGACTAATGGATGAGTTGATTCACATAATTATTACTCTTTTTAAAATCATGATTTAGGATCACAATCCAATACTTTATAATAAGATTTTTAATGATCTAGTCTAGATATTAAGATGCGCCCATATCTTTTAGAGAAAAAGATAGAAAAATACCACTTGAACTTCATAATCCCCAAATGATCTGTTGAATTTGAGAAATCTCAATTTGGTCTCTTGAGACCAAATTGGGATTATCATATTAAAAGAAAAGACTAAACTGCCCTTCATTTATTTGTTGTTTTTAAAATACTAAAGCCTCCACTGGTTGGCCGGTCGCCGGAGCTCTGGCAGCGGCAGTCACCGGAGCTTTGGCGACCAGCTGATAATTGGTCACCGAAGCTCCCGCGGTCGAAAATAACTTTTTTAAAAATTTTTACAACTTCAGTATAACAATTAACAACATTTGTAACACTATTAACAATTTCAGTATAGCAGTTGACAACAGGTTTTCTAGAAAATTCAACAAGTTCCGGCGGCTGGAAAAATTTTTTTTGAAAATTTTTACAATTTCAGTATAACAGTTAATAACTTTTGTAATGTTATTAATAACTTCAGTATAACAGTTAACAATAGGTTTTTTGGAGAATTCAACAAGCTCCGGCAGTCGGAAATAATTTTTTAAAATATTTTTTTACAACTTTAGTATATCGATTAACAATTTTTGTAACGTTAATAGCAACTTCATTATAGCAGTTAACAACAGATTTTCTGGAAAATTCAACAAACTTCGGTGGTCGGAGATAATTTTTTTTGAAAATTTTTACAACTTCAGTATAACGGTTAACAACTTTTGTGACGCTATTAACAACTTCAGTATAACAATTAACAACAGGTTTTTCAGAAAATTCAACAATTAGTCGCCAGAGCTCAGGCGGCTGGAAACAATTTTTTTGAAAATTTTTACAACATTGGTATAATAGCTAACAACTTTTGTAAAGCTATTAACAACAGGTTTTTCGAGAAATTCAAAAAGTAATATTTTTACAACTTCATTAATGCTGTTAACAAGTTCTGTAACTCTATTAACAACTTCGGTATAGTATTTAACAACATGTTTTCTTAAAACTTCAAAAAAATAGCATTTTTACAATTTTAGCAATTGATTTTAAAAAAATTTTTTTTACAACTTCAGTATAACGGTTAACAACTTTTGTAATATTATTAACAATCTCAGTATAGCAGTTAACAATAAATTTTCTGAAAAATTCAAAAAGTAGCATTTTTACTGAAAACCTGTTGTTAACAGCTATACTGAAGTTGTTAATAGCGTTACAAAAGTTGTTAACCGTTATACGGAAGTTGTAAAAATTTTCAAAAAAAATTGTTTCTGGCTGCCGAAGCTTCGGGCAACCAATTGTTGAATTTTTTGAAAAACTTGTTGTTAATTGATATACTGAAGTTGTTAATAGCATCACAAAAATTGTTAACCGTTATACTGAAGTTGTAAAAATTTACAAAAAAATTGTTTCCGGCCATCGAAACTTGTTGAATTTCTCAGAAAACTTGTTATTAACTGCTATATTAAAGTTGTTAATAGCATCACAAAAGTTGTTAACCGTTATACTGAAGTTGTAAAATTTTTTTAAAAAAATTGTTTCCGACTACCGGAGCTTGTTGAATTCCCTAGAAAACCTATTGTTAACTACTATACTGAAGTTGTTAATAATGTTACAAAAGTTGTTAACCGTTATACTGAAATTGTAAAAATTTTCAAAAAAATTGTTTCTGGCCGTCGGAGCTTGTTGAATTTCTTAGAAAACCTGTTATTAATTGCTATATTGAAGTTGGTAATGGCGTTACAAATGTTGTTAACCGCTATACTGAAATTGTAAAATTTTTCAAAAAACTTATTTTCGATCGCCGGAGCTCTGGTGACTAGTTGTCAGCTGGTCGCCGGAGCTCCGGTGACTGCCGCTGCCGGAGCTCTGGCAACTTTCTGACCAGAGGGGGCTTTGGTGTTTTAAAAACAATAAATAAATAAAGGGCAGTTCGGTCTTTTCCTTTAACATGTTAATCCCAATTTGGTCTCTTGAGACCAAATTGGAATTTCTCAAATTCAACAGACCATTTGGGGATTATGAAGTTCAAGTGGTATTTTTTTGTCTCTTTTCTTATCTTTTAACCATTGAAAAAAACATGACGTATTAACATTTCCTTTCAACCTATATAAATTATTCAGAAAATTGAGGAGAATTTAGTCTAATGATGATGTGCAAAGTTTTTGGTGAAACTTTTTATCCAATTGAGGAGCTCTAAGAGGATCAATTGAGTCAACAACTATATATATGTGTGCACACTATTATATAGTATTCCTCTTGTCCTATTTACAGGGTAGAAAGAGAAGATTTTTTGGGGTTCTATTTATAAGTCACTTTATTAAATTTTCAGCGTGAATGTACTATTTTGTCCTTTATTTATTATAGTATAGATAGTTATTTTTTTTGAAAGATGTATATATTAAATATAGATAAAGTTAAAAAATTGTTATATTTTAATGAAGAGTTAATATATTTTAAAATTTTTCTTAACCTGTGTAAAATATATTAGAAGTACATTATAAATATCATCAGAGGAGTAGGTCTCAATAAGAGAACAAACGACTTGTGTATATATGTGTGCTTATCGGTCCAAAATAGAGAACAAAAAGATTCATGGCCCTCAAATAGTCGCGTGTTACCGGCTGATCCGGTTGCTTGTTCAATTTCGCAGATTGCCCAGTCGGCCCATTTTTCTGTTTCCTCCACTTTCCCTTTTCCTTTGGTACAATACCCGCTTAATTCTCTTCTTTTTTGTTCGCTTCGCGTTCGCGTGATTGATCCCCTGGTCTTTCGTTCCTCGAAAGGTAGCCACTTTTCCTCTATAATCTCTTCGACATTCATGTCTCGACCTAAATGTGTTCTTTCGCAGCTGAGAAAATTCGGAGCTGAATTCTTTGACATCAGGGATTTGTTTTTGTGGGAGGAACTGAAAATAAAATGTTGACGTACTAGGACAGAGAAACTTAACTAAGTTTAACTTGTTGCGGGTTTGCAAGGGTTTTCTATTTTTCGTTTATATTTGTTTACTCTGGTTCTTAAGGACGCCAACGGCCAGTTAATGTATATGTATTTTTATTCCCCATCACCTTAAATGCCTGAATTGATGATTTTTCAGTCCTTGTTGGGATTGATTCTCATATTTCAGTTTGTAGATTGTCTCATTATAATTTCTTGGAGTTTCGATGAGAAGTAGCACGGAAAATGTGTGCATGAAACTCTGAATTATTCTGTTGCGTTGGCTAGTTTTATACTCTTTGGACTAAAGAAAAACGAATTTATCTGTATAGGTGGCTTGCTATGTACATATTTCACTTCTTGTGGTGCATCTATCTGAATTTTATTGGGACCCTGTTTTATGAACTGAGCTGATTTTCCTCCTATCCTGTCGATTCCCTTGTTATCTATCTGTTCACTCTAATTCTTTTTAGTGGGTGTTTCTGATCCCTTTTTGTTCTTTTTAACTGTCGACTTCTTCATACCAGGAATTTGAACTATGAAAAACGGCAAGGGGAAGGGAGCAGCTGATGATCGGTTAGTTTATGTATCATTAGATCTTGTTTAAAAGATTTTTTGGTATTTTTATTTTTCTTGTAACTTTACGTCTCCTTGTCCTTAAAGGCGTTGACTTCTGGTAATTTACTTATTTCTAAAAATTTTACTGTGGTCATGATGGAATTTGTGTATATGCTTGTTATTTTCAGGATGGTTGGCAAGCGAAAGGCCGCTCTAAAGCCTGACAAGAGCAGGGCAAAAATGTCCAAGAAGGCGAGGAATGCCAAGAAAGATCCCAACAAACCAAAAAGACCGCCCAGTGCTTTTTTTGTCTTCCTGTTGGTATCCCTTGGCTTTCTCCCTTTATCTGGTAGCTCCTTTAGAAAAATTGTCACACTTATCTCCTATTCTGTGTGATAGTGAGGAGTTCAGAAAGACCTTTAAGGCAGAAAATCCTAATGTGAAGGCTGTATCAGCTGTAAGTTTCATGTTAGATTAATTTTTTTAATTTTTATTTTGAGTCAGCAAGTTCCTTATTGTACTTTTTGATTGAAGGTGGGGAAGGCTGGAGGAGAGAAATGGAAATCTCTGACTACTGCTGTAAGCATTTTAATGGCTTCATAATATTATATTTTCAACCTTTTTTATTAGTTATATATTAAACAATAATCGTAGTATCACATAGATTATCAGCTTTAGCTTCTTCAATTGAATCCATAAATCCTTCTTCTGCACTCTCTTGTTATAACTTACCTGTTGGGTCTGAAGGAGAAAGCTCCATATGAAGCCAAGGCTGCAAAAAAGAAAGCTGAGTATGAAAAACTCATGAATGCATATAATAAAAAGCAGGTGAGCAACCTGTTCTTGTTGTTTTGTTATCTAGTTCTTTGATTGTCCTGTTTATATGATTTGTTTTTTTTTTTTCTTTTGACCAGACAAACTTAGTCAATGACAGAGATGAGGAATCGGATAAGTCCCAGTCTGAAGTGCATGATGAAGAGGATGAAGCCAGTGGAGAGGTAGCCTCACTAGATCCGGATTCTCTCATTTGAATGAAGAACATGATATTGTATGAGAAAAGCGATAGACGCTATGTGTGCGACTCACATACTGGGGTCCACTACTCAAGAAAGTTTGTGTCTAGCTCATCATGTTACGACAGTATTGTCGTTTCACATGAGATGATCCGAACACAACACCATTTTCTTTTACACCCCTTTTTATTCAACTATTTCGCATGTGTTCTTTGATCTATCATGAATTTGTCTTCAGCTCATGATAAGAGGGCGCTTGGTAAATTATTGACTGTTGCTACGCAGAGTTGTTAGGGGAAATGAAAAGATTTTTTTTATCAGGGACATGCGTTTATTTCATTCCACTTTGTTTATTGTCTAGAAAAATTGTGCTTTGATCCATGGCCTTTGTCCCCAACCTTCATAATATAATTTGAGATGCTGGGTTTTACAGTTGCTATACTTGTCAATTTGGTGTCTTCTAATTCTAAATAATTTTTGTTGCTAGGAAGTTGTAAAATAGTAGTTCTCAGCTGGTACTCGATGAAATATTTGATGTTGAATGCTGCTTCACGTCCCATGGATTTGTATTGCACCTTGTGATTCTCATTTATGTGCGTTACTCTGCATTTTCTATATTTTTGGATCTCCGGTTAACTCAACCAATACGGTTCTATAATGTAGAAACTTACAGACATGGAGCTTGCTTTTCAATTCTCTGTGACAATTGTCTGTTAAATAGAGAAGGGCTCCGTAGTTTATTGGGACATAAATGCTGTTGGCCCTGGATTTATATATATTAGAAGGAAAAAAAATAGTGTGGATGTGGTCTGATGGTAAAAACTTCAAAATTTCACTTTCCTTATGTTGTTTTTCTTTTTATATAGGAAGCACACCAAGAAGAGGAGGATGAAGAGGAGAACGATGAAGACGACGATGATGAAGAGGATGACTGAATGCTGCTCACATCTTAGTTCATGATGTCTCCTATGTTAGGAGGCTACTATGTTGTAGTTCATGTTCACTAGTTACTGGGCTACTGTATGTTAGTCCTTGTACTTTAGTTCAACTTTTTAGCATTGGAGCCTGAAATGTGTTGGCTTAAAAGTACCATAGTTTTCTTTTACATCAAATTGGTACTTACATATGCAGCCAAAGCATCTATGTATTTTGTACACAAAGAACTTGGTATGAATGAAAGATAAAGTTTAACCGAATTGTTCAGCAAAATGCTTGTGGCAGATACATAAGTAGTTGGAATAGCTTCCGTCATGGCTTTTCCTTTTTCATTGGTGCGATTTTTCTTTCCTGAACTTGTATTATAATGAGAACTTGAAGGTGAACGAAAGCTACTCAACTTTTTCAGAGGCAAACCGCTTCATGAAAATTTTGAGTGTAAATTCTGAATTTTCAGCCGCTAGGAATCATCTCTCTTAATGTGTGACCTTCATTTACACGAGTAATGTATAAGAACTCAAAATGTTAAATTGTATAACCTCTATAAGAGATTTTTTTTTTTTTCCAATACATGAAAAATTTAGGTGAGTTAGATTCCGAAAGCTCATCAAAACTAGAACATGCCATTAGACTCAAATAGTATTTATAGAGTTACTTACAGATCACTCATAGATCACTTCCTAACAAAATCTTCGTATTAGTAATAAGATTCAAATTCACAATATTATAGGTTATGAGTAGATTCTTTACCCATTGAGCCAATTCTTGTTGGTACCTCTATAAAAGAATGTTAGTCAAATAAAATAATAAAATGCAAAAGTGTGAACTTGACGTGAAATTTGATATTATTTAATTGATTGAATTTTCTCAAGTCTCAATAGTTTTTTTCAGGCCAATAATAAATTTTGAATTACTGAAAATTAGCTAATTTAATCTCATTCAAAAATAATAACAGCCATTCAAAATTGCAAATTCAGATTAAGCTCAACCAAACTCCCAACTCAACTAATATTTCCTTGATTTCTTAATTAAGCAATTGCGTGCGCGCGCACACACATATACATATATATTGATATGTAATCATAAACATATTAAGTACATTAGTCGGAGGGTTAATGGTGTGGTTTACTAATCCTATGACGCCTGTGGGCAGTTAAGTCGGGTTAGTTATTAGGATAGAACTATTTCTGTACTGGCTATATAAACAGAGGTTGTCCCCCTTGTATGATGTCATGTTGTTGCTATTATGCAGAGAAGCATACAACTTGAATAGTGGATGGAAGAACTTTGACTCAAAATTGGTATGTGATTATATTATTTCCGATTCTAAATATAAGAACCAGTTGACTAATTTGAGTAGATTGAAGACTTTAAGGTACAATCAATATGGCTCTAATTTAAAAAGGAACGGCAACATGAAGCAGGCAAGATTTGCCACAGAAGAAAAACACTAGGTCTAAGAACACTATTCAGCTATATCAATACCCACCAGATCTAACAATCATCGTATATCATTTCGAAAGGCAAAATATGAGATGGAGGGAAAAATTTTCATCCAGAATCACTAAGATAGGCTTTGCCATAGGTCTTTTGGCGCTATTGAAAGACAGGAAGGTCATTCTCTGGCGGCTGCTTATAACAAGCATTCACTCCAACTGGGACACAGCTACTTGAGGCCTCTCGTGTAATTTCATTTCCCATCTTCGAGAAATAACTATGCCTGCAAAATTCGATGATAAGAACTTCATGTCATATGAAATTGCAATTTAAAAAGAAGAGAAGCTAGGTATTTAGCAAAGTCTAGTCCATAGAAAAATTGACCAAGAAGAATAATACGTACCATCGTGTATCTGCTGTTAATTCAGGATGGAAAGCTGTCCCTAGTATGTTTCCTTGTCTAACAGCAACTATAACTTTACTTTCTTCCTCAGCATCCTCCTGCCATATCCATATTTTTAAGAAAACTAGAAACTAAAGTTTCCCCCCCTAAAAACGATTCATTAATCACCAAAAAGGATTAGAGCAAAAAAAATCCACCTAGTAGCACTCCATTCATCGTCTACCACCCTTCTACAACAAGGTGGTGGATAGAAACTAAAGTCAACCCAATGCATTTTAAACAATGCAGGTGGCATGCGGTGTATACGACGCACCAAAACTTGAAAAAGGAACTGTATCATATTCAATACAGGTTTGGCAGCCATGGTAGACGTGAAACCTCAGATTCAAATTATATTGAAACATTACATATTTTCTACCACGGTTTGCAATATGTGTATTACCCATGCTTAAATGTTATACAGAAAAACTTCACTATGTAGATTGAAGTTTCCATAACATTGGATGCTACTTGTGACGTAGGAAGCTCTCACGTTTTCTCTCTTTATCAGCAACCATTAATTCTGCATTCCAAATGCAGAGGATCGGGACTGATAAGCAAGGTCCCTCAATTTCGGTTCAATATTTGTATTATATAATACTAACGGATAACTTCTTCAAGAACATATAATCCTTCAAACAATTAAGTGGAAGAATCAAAATAAATAAGTAATTACAAACACTGCAACCCTTTGATTGGTTGTCCGTTATAAATCAAGTTTAAATCTTTCCTTCGGAAAATATGGAATTACCAACCTTTTGATCTTCAAGAGAGAGATCTGAACCCAACAATCTCTTAGAAGGGACAGGGAAATCAGCCAGTATTTGAACTTCGGGCCCTGCCTCAAGGATTGCTGGCGCACGAATAAAGATTCCACGAAATGTTTCAGGGCCCCCTTCTTTGGATGCAAGCTCTGGTACAGAAAGCTCGGCTTCAAAGCTTTGAATCTGAATCGACATGGTTATTGGTTAGATGAACCAAAAAAATGACATGCATGTATGTATATTGGGGAAGAAAGCACTTGAGCTTTCTTTTCTTCAAAAGAAACTTGGACAAACTGTCTTAGAAATGATGATAACCAATAAAAGATCCTATATATATATATATATATATATAAATTCAATCAAGAGTAGGCGGCAGGGGAAAGGAGAGAGAAAGATATTCATAAGATGTTATTGCATGCCTATTATAACTGTTGTAGCTGTCACCCTATAGCCCCAATATCCTGTGTAAAACTTAAATTTTTTGGGGGCAAGATAACACATAAAAAGTAGGTACTAGGCACCAATATAATATGTTTATATGTTCAATGTCTGAAGAGTGCAAACACAACACTTTTGCTTTCACTCAATGCAAAATATAAAAAATTTCTTGTCCAATGTCCCTTTGTAGATTTATTTGCCGTGTGCTTCCCTATTAAATGAATGCTTAATTATTAATTGTTCAACATTTATTATGACATTACCTGGCTGCCAAAGAAATTTCTATGAACAGTGCAATCAAGTCCTCCAACTAGTTGTTGTCCGCCAGTCTTCTGTCCTGAAATAATGTACAACATTTATTTTTTTAAAATTACTCTTAATTATAACTCATAGATCGGTAAATGAAGAACAAAACACTAAAATGTTCCTCAAAATTCAACATAATTGCAGAAAAGTGGGAAAGAGAAGCAAAATCCACCTGTCGCTTTATTTGCCAAGAATATAAGCCCTGCACACGTTCCCCAAACGGGTCTTCCCATCTTAACAAACTCTCTTAGCGCAGGAAACTGTTAAATTGAACACTCAACATAAATTACAAGGCCCTTACTCTTCAACGAGACGCCAGAAGCATAAATTAAACCGATATTATAATTGAATCTTCTAATTCCCTAGTCCATTAGTGTAATTAAATGAGGACAAGACTCCCTCAGGAGAGACGAGGCTCCACTCAATTTCAACACAGAAACTCACATACCTCAAAACCCACACCACACGCACAGAATACTCAAAAAATTTTATCCCTTTCTATCAGTTTCCTTCGTAAAGAATCGATTGTAAGAAAACCTAAAAGAAAACAAGCCAACTCATGCAATCAGCTTATCTCAAGAGCAGAGCCCTTCTTCAACTTAGCCAATTAACGGATAACTAACACGATACAAAAATATGAGTTGAGCTATCCAAACCAAAATGTTTTAAAGAGGATGAGAGTGTACTTATTGCGCAATTGTTTTACATCGCAACAAATAGCTTATCGTTGCAATTAAACAAGTGTGAGCTTAGGTATCATGCAATATTAGACATAGTACAGGTTCATGTTTCAGTTTTATCAGTAATACTGCTTGACAGCAGCAAGCAAAACAGAGTTGTACAGTATAGAAGCAATAGAAAGCTGCACTTAATTATGGAGCAACAAGAGACCAGGTTGTGGAACTCAGCGAGCTTTGCCATGGTCGTGCTCTCTCCTCCAGGAATGATAAGAGAAGTGACATCGCGAAGCTGTTCTGGCTTCCTAATCTCGATCCCTTTCACCCCTATCCTCCTAAGGGCTACCATAGATAGGAAAAAAAAATTAAAAAAAAAAAACTTTAGCTAGCAAGGAGCTATATTACGATACACTATAGCCATTACACATCCAGAGATTGAGAGGGAGTGAAAAGAATGAAGCTTGCCTGCTATGTGTTCGTTGAAAGATCCCTGTAAAGCAAGAACTCCAACGACGGCCATGTTCTTCAGAAGAGTACCGCCTTCCAAAGCGCAGATTGTAGGACCCCTTTTACTTATACGCTCAAATCAACGAACGGTGACAACAATCTGCGAAGTGGGGGGAGCTGGCATAGCCGCCATAGAAAATTTAAAACAATAATATGATCTGATTCAAAACAACTAATCATGCATGATGAAAACATGGGGCAGAGTGGCAGACGCAGACCAATATATTTTAGTGATTAAAAATTAAACAAGTTTCCTTTTCTCTGTCAATATTAAATAAACCTTAAAAAAATTATAGTAGTAATAAATAATTGACATGGCATCTTACAAACATGGGGCCTTTTTAGGAGGGCTTAAAATTTTTTTTATAAACACGTTTTATATAAATCGAAATAAAACTTCTTTCGTATACTTATTTCGTATTTCGTAAATTATTATTAAAAAGTTATTTATAAACTGTTCTAAACGGACTCATAATCACAAAACCTTCGTTAGTTTATACTAAATATGAGTATTAAAAATAAGATTAATATAACCTTTAGTCTCTTAAATTTATCTTTATTTTGGTTTTAATTATTCAAATTTCAAATCATAGGTTTTGACACCTTAAGAGGTAAAATCATTCAAATTTTTATTGGATTATAAGAATTAATATTTTAAATAATAGAAAATTAGAGAGACCAAAAGTTATGATTTGAAATTTGAGAGACCAAAATTAAAATGGGGACAAATTTGAGAGACCAAAATTTATATTAACCTTTAAAAATATGAAAAAAAATTAATAAAAAATTAACCTAGAAAATACTGCTTAAAAGATAAAATTCTACTACAAATTTAATTTAAAGTATTAATTGCTACAGATATTAAATGCACCTTCACTTAACTGAATGCCTTGGGAGTTAATGGCATAATTAAGATTGGCACAAAAAAGTCTTTTTTAAGAACAAAATTATCCTGTATATTTTGATCATGAGGCTTGATGACCACCGGTCAGATGTGTCCGCCCAAGCCAAGGGAAAAAATGTTTAGCGCCAGTCCGACGACAAAATCCCCAGTATATGGACATTTTTAGCCTTTAGGCCGGGCGTATTCGCGGGCAAAGCCGTCCATTGAACAGGGTATTCTGGTATACTTGTTCTGTTCTGCCCGAAAATATATATGATTATTTTTTGCCAACAACACACATATATATATATTATATATATTGCCAAGAATATAATTGTACATGTGACATGTAGTCGGCAGAATATATATATATATATATATATATAAATACATTACCTCTTTTATTTAATATAAGAACTAGTTTTACATTTAATTAGAGCTTAATTCATTTTGTCTTTCATATTTATTTATTTTTTTCGTCCTTTCATATTTATTTATTTTTTCAAGGTCGTCCTTATAGTAGTTTCATATATAAAAAGTTTTCATTTAAAGTAGTTTTAACTATACAATTATTTAGCAAGAGTATTTTAAAAAAGATAAAATTTATTTATTATGAATTAACTAATTTTTTTAATCTACTTAAATTAGTCAAATAACTTTTGTACTAAGGACAAGAGGTGGTACTACTATGGTCTTTTTTAATTGTCACTTGTAGGAAGAGATTTTGGTTCTTTTTATTTGTCACTTATACATTTTTGTAGTGTTTCATTTTAGTTTTATCCCTATTAATTAAGAGAGACACATGTGAGAATAAAGAAAGAGGAGATACGTAAGAAAAAAATATACTAACTATTTACTAAAGATATATTATATTTCAGCCACTATTTTTTTTAAAGGAAAAATGACAAATAAAGAAGGCTAAAATTAGGATATCCCAATTAGGGAAGTTAAGAGTGGGAAATGACAGAGAGAAAAGTTATTCCCAAATTGAAATTTTGAAATTAAATAAAATGATAAAAATACTCTTTGTCTTTTTTTTTTTTAAAAAAAAGGCTCAACTCCTGGTCGCAGTTGGCACAGCCAGCTACTGGCCTCGGGTGCTGACCACCGGTGGAATTTTTTTTGTGACATATTTTTTGGGCCACGTGAGAATATTTAAAGAAAGTGGTTGAGTGGGATTTGATTCCACTACCCCTTGATCATTTGGGCCAACAAACCATTGGTCACCAATGATTTGTTAACCTTGTAATGCAAAAAAAATATAAGTTAACTCTTTTATTATGGCTCCAGCCTGTGACACAATTTATCTAAGAATAAAAAATGTAAATTTAATATTAACAAAGTAACTTTTCTTTATATATAACAGGAAATAACATATACATTAATTAAAAATGATAACAATTTATTTGGAAATAACATGTATTGATTGGGAAATGACAAGTTTAAACTTGATGTTAATAATGTGTTTTTTTTCCTGATACATAAAGGAAAATAATATGTGCATTAATTAAAAATGACAACAATTTATTTGGTAATGATATGTTTTAATTGGGAAATAACAAATCTTGATTGTTTGATTACAGTTTTTTTTTTGAATTTGTGCTATTTCTTTTTTCTTCCCTAAATAATTTGTACGTGAGAAATTTATTTAATTATCTACAAAAGACTATATTTGACCTTATTTTGATGCGTCCATTCCCTCATAATATGTGTGTGACAGGCACAGCTAATTTAGTAACAGTCAAGATTTGTTATTCGCAAATAAATTTTGTCATTTTTAATTAATGCACATGTTATTTTCTGTTATTATCAGGAAAAACATGTTGTTAATCTCAAGTTTAGATTTGTCATTTTCCAATAAAGACATGTTATTTCTGAATAAATTATTATCACTTTTCATTAATGTATATGTTATTTCTTATTATGTATAAAGAAAAGTTGCTCTGTGAATATCAAATTTAGACTTGTTATTCCTAAATAAATTATTGTCACGAGATGGAGTCACAATAAAAGAGTCAACTTATATTTTTTTTGCATTATAAGATGAATAAATTATTAGTGGCCCAACATCATCTTTTCTTTTATTGCCTAAATGACGAAAGGATAGTGTAATCAAATCCTAGTATCCTACCCTACCACTTTTTTTAAATATTCTCACATGACCAAAAAAAAGTCTGTGACAAAAAAAATTTCACCCGCAACCACCACACTAGTGGGCACCCGGGTTGAGCTTTTGTTTCTAAAAAAAAAAAAAGTGAAGGATGTTTTTGCATTTTACTAAATTTTAAATTGTAATTTGAGAATAACTTCTCTCTCTCATTTCTCACCTTGGCTTTCCAAATTTGAAATATCCTAATTTCAGCCTTTTTTTATTTGTCATTTTCACTCTTTTTTTTTTATCAAATTTTTTTCTTCCTCCTATTGTTTTCACTTTTCATTTCCCATTTTCTCCTATTTGCCCAAGCACCCATACCCTGTTTCCCTGGCAGTCGCTCTTCTTGACTCACTCATCACTCTCACCCCTCCCTAGCCGCTCACTCCGGCAAGGAGAGCCCTCTCAGCCGCTTACCCCGGCGACTCACTTCTCACTCTGCGTCTCTCTCCGTCTCTCGTTTCAGCTGCTCAATCCGTCTCTCGTCTATCTCGTCTCAGGTTGCGAAAGCAAGGTCCACGCAAATTCCCACTTCGGTTCCTCCTCACCTCCTTCCCCTTCCGAGCTCATCAAATCGCACAGCGTCACTCAGTGCGCGACTCTCGTTTCAGCTGCTCGCTCCGTCTCTCGTCTCTCTTGTCTCAGGTTTGTATTTCTTTCTATTTTTGTTTTTTTCGTAATAATTTTGGTGGTGAGAGTTAATTTGATGGCAGTATAAATTAGGTTTGAAGCTTGGGGTAAAATTGGATGGTAATGGATAGAAATCTTAGATGTGATCTTTCGAGTCAAAGTCAGGAACTTTTCTTGGCTTATAATGAGATAGAGCATCGTCTTCCATGAAATGTAGTGGGAATAAATTGAATGAGGCTTGTGAGTTACAACTTATACTATAGAGTATAGACCTAGGTGTGTTTGTTAAGATTGTTGTCTGCTGGAACGACCACCACCACTGTAACTCATTGCGCATTAACAATGACTTTATACTATTCCTTCCCATCAATGTTTACATATGGTTTTCGTATTTAAATTGCTATGTATATCAATTTAAATACGAATTATAAAGGAATGAGACAGAGAAGGGGGACCAATTGAGAGAACGGACATTTGAGAAGGTGAGGTTGATAAAATGAAAATGAGTGGGAAGAAAGCGAGATGGAGAGAGAGGGATGGATGGGAGAGAAGAGGTGATATTGGGAGACTGAGTGTCATGGTGGAGGTTAAAGGGATCGAAGAAGTGGGACCTCAAACAAGTACCTGCTTCTAAATCTTAAGTTGGATGCTCAGTTCATCGGTATTGTTCTAATGGGATTATGGGATATGCTTGATATCAAAATGTGATGCTCGGAACTTTGATTGTGCACGCATGCACATGTTTTTCCTTTGACTTTTTTTTTTTTTTCAATTAAAATTTTTCTTTGATCTGTTCGATGTTTGATTTGATTTGATAAGTTTTGTTGTCACTCTCACCTGATTATAGGCTGAAGGGATTTTTATTGATGTTCATTACATTATTTGTTGATCTTGCTGAGTACTTGACCTCGCTACCTTGTAAGTTGGTTGTTGGTCAATTTCATAAAATGATTTGCTTCAGGGTATTGACAGTTTTGATTGTCTTCCATCACTAAGGAGAAGCCTAGGGATATGCCAATGCGGCATTAGGTGGGCATATATCTCTTTTCTTTTTGGGGGGGGGGATTTCGAAGTTTTGGGCGAGCCTCTTACCTTTTGAAGGTCATGAGACTAGAGGGTCATTCTCTTTCTTTTCTTGTTCTTTTACTGTGTAATCGTCTGGATATTTCTAGTTACATATAAATTAAGAGTTTTGAAGGTTCCATCATATTCCCTTTAATTCATAGTCTTCAAAGTAAGGAAATTTGAGGAAGGACATGGGCTTCTCTCAATGGCATCAAATAAAATAGTATATTTTTGCAACACCAAAATAGTGAAGGAAATAGGTTGAATGTGCTGATACTTGTGCAATATTTGGTGAAATCATTCACTTTATTTTGTTTTGGTTCTTGTTTAATGACTGAGCAATGCTGGCGCAGAAATTAGGTTTCAGTTTTCAGAATTTGTTATTCACTTAAATATCTTGAAACTGCTAAAGTGTTAGGGAATTTAACCTATTTCACACTTGTGGTTGTTGTACACGAGGTTATATGAACGGTGAGGACCATATTTCTTTGTTGTTTGCTGTTGTAATTGTTTACCACATAAGATCTTAGTTTTCATTTGGAAGTTTCATATCACTTGAAGCTAATCCTGTACTCTTTTTCTGGGCAGAGTACTGTTATCTTTTGGCTCTTTACTTTGGGGTTGATGTTTTGGAGATTTCTTAAAAGGCATCCGCATGCAGGCAGCTTATGCTCGTACTTTCTCTTGTGTGGGTTGTCATTCTCTTAGGCTAAGAAACTTGTGTTCTCTATCAACATCTTCTCGCCTTGTAGGAGCTGGGAACTTTCAGCATAGAGAACAATGTGAGGGCCATACAAGATTGGATGGTTTTGATATTCTTATTTCTAAAGCTAGCAAAGGTAGTAGCGATGATGAAATTTTTCAGTCTCTTGTCAATGACCGAGCATGTGATGGTATAAATGTGTCTCACGACCTAATTGAGGTATTGCTCCATCGATTTAAGGATAATTGGAAATCTGCATTTGGAATTTTCAAATGGGCTAGTTTGCATTCTGGCTTTAGACACTCACCTGAAACATATGATATGATGGTTGATATATTAGGTAAAATGAAGCAATGGGGCAAGGTGAGGGATCTCCTAGAAGAAATGAACCAGGGAAGTCTCATCACTCTCAATACTATAGCTAAGGTAATGAGAAGGTTTGCAGGTGCAGGGCAATGGGAAGATGCTGTTAGGATATTTGATGAAATAGAAACTCTTGGATTGGAGAAAAACATAGAGTCCTTGAACTTGTTGATTGATACCCTCTGCAAAGAGAACAATGTGGAGCAAGCTCGTGCCATCCTCCTGAATCTGAAGCAGCACATTTCACCAAATGCTTACACGTTCAACATTTTCATTCATGGATGGTGCAAAGTTAGGCGTGTAGATGAGGCACATTGGACCATCCTGGAGATGAAAGGACATGGCTTTTGTCCTAGTGTTATAAGCTACACGACCATTATCCAATGCTATTGTCGAGAACAGAATTTTAATAGGGTTTATGAGCTCCTTGATGAAATGCGAGCTCAAGATTGCTGTCCAAATGTGATCACTTTACAGGTATCATATTTGCACTCGCAAAGGCAGAAAAATTTGAGGAAGCTTTGCAAATGGCTGAAAGGATGAAATCTCTTGGATGTAGGCCTGATGTACTTTTCTACAATTCCTTGATTTATACGCTGGGCAGAGCAGGCAGAGTATATGATGCCACTTATGTATTCAAAGTGGAGATGCATAGTGCTGGTCTTGCCCCAAATACTTGCACCTATAATACAATGATTTCCATGTTTTGTGATCATGCACAACAAAGTAAGGCCTTTGAACTGCTCAATGAGATGGAAGATTCAGGACTTTGTAAGCCTAATACTCAGTCTTACCATCCATTGATCAAATCATGCTTTAAAGCTGGAATCATAGACAGTTGTTTGAATGATATACTGGATTACATGGTCGATAGGCATAATCTTTGTCTTGATATTTCTACATACACACTTATAATTCATGGGCTTTGTAGAGCAGGAAAATGTGAGTGGGCTTACTCAATATTTGAGGAGATGATTGATCGTGGCTTAGTGCCTAGACACAGAACTTGCCGTTTATTGTTGGAGAGTTAAACTGAAAATATGTATGAAGCTGCTGAGAAAATTGAAGATGTCATGAAGAAACTTTAATGAGTTTCACTTTTTGTTGGAATGGCCATGCTAATCCAATCTTAACTTCTGACGGATTGTTGACTTGCATTATATTAGTCATTAAACACATAAAATACTTTAAACTAATCGTCCAAAATAAAAAAAGTTGCTTGAGATCATTCAAATTCAAATGACTCAACTTGCATTGTTGGGAATGCATTTGATTATGTATCTAAATTTTATAATTACACTGATTTAGGCTGGGTGGGTGCTTTTATTTTTCTTCCAGACAAAGTTAACAAATCATATTTTAAAAATAATTAGTTAACGTTCATATACACAACTTATACCACGTGCCACATACCTAATTGTAAAAATATTGGAAGCTCCTCGGCATTTTTGGAGATTCCAGAAATTATGGAATTATTCAGACCAAAGCTCATCTATCACATTTGATGGCGGATGCTATTGGGGCAATGGTTGGTGGTGGTGTCGGGACGTTGGCGGAGTATGGGTGGTGATCGGTGAAAATAATGGGAATAATAGCCTCTATTGGTGAACACATTTCCAATCCATCCATTTAAAAATGTTTGTTACCTAAATTTTACTGTCTTCTTTTTTTCCCCTTTTTAAAAATGATGGTCACTTGATAGAATTGAATTAACTATTTATTTGCAGTTTTATCTTTATTAAATTTTTACTAAGTGAAATATTTCACATTTAAAGTTATATATGTAGAATACGGATTGAAGAAGTTATTAAGTGACCTCAATTACCCTTGTATCAGTAATACTTGAACAGATTTTTTCATCCTGCTTCCTTAAAGACCTAAAGTAGTTTTGTATGAA